TATTCAAAAGGTGTCATGGTTCACCGCACGGTTTAGATCATAACTGTAACTCCCACAAACAATGGTAAACGATGTGTGCTATGCCTTATTAGTTGGTAAGTATATACACCTCACTAGTGCCAAATTCCAGCCCATACAAGACAGCTATGGCAGCAAAAAAGAAGTGCACGCAGTTACCAGCTGCGAGCGTGAGCCGTCAGTTTCAATCAGGGCCAACTTTTGACACATCAGACTGATCCGTATCGTCACAAAGAGCCTGTATCCAAGAAATGGCTTAAATCGCATAGTCGGTACTAGATTTATTCAAGAAAGTAAATTCTTCTTTTTGTTGTTGTTGTTCAGTTTAGACATGCTTATCTCAAAAACCACTTAAGATATGGAGATGAAACTTTGCACAAAGATTGGAATCAATGACAGGTCGTGCAAGAGCATTTTTATTTCTTCGTAAACAATTTTGTTTACATGTAAACAACAAAAACTGTAAAAAAATTAGCCCCAAGCAATACATTATGATAGAGAAAAATAAACTGTGCTAACTAGGTAAACCTAATACCCAGAGTGATAAACTTTGTGCACATATACAACCCAACATTAGTAACAAAATGTAAACATTACAAGTTTGTAAACAATAACAAACAGCCTCAGGCAATTAAAACTTGTGTGCCTATAACTTGCTTATGGTTGGTCCTATAACAATGAAACTTGGTACACTGATGTATATACCATGATAAGAGTTCATCGAAACAGAACTTACAAGTTGTAAACAACAACAAACAGCCCCAGGCAATAAAAACTTGTTAATGGTGTTTGTGCCTATAAAATTACTTGTGGTATGTCCTCTAACAATGATACTGGTAGCTACACTGATTCACCATGATAAAGAGTTCATCGAAACAAAAAATACAAGGTTGTAAACAACAACAAACAGCCTCAGGTAAAAAAGACTTTTAAACCCATAACTTGCTTATGGTGGGTCCTCTCACAATGAAACTCGGTGCACTGATGTAATGTGAAAGCAAAACGTCTGAGGCGATAGCTTAAGGCCACTAATGTTACCTTTTTTATGGGCTTATGCCCAAAAATATCCCTTTTATATGCACACCATGCATGTGAATGCAGTAAGAAAAGGAAAGGAGACAAGTGAATAAAAGAATTCTTCGAATTTAAACAGTGTGGAATATAGGGATACCATAAAAAGTAAGGAGACAAGACAAGGATGACCTAGTGAACAAAATGCAGTAGTACAATATATTATGATGGCTACATACTTTGAACTGACATCGGTTACTCCTGTAGAATTTCCTCCACACAAGCTCGCCATAATTACTGTTTGTTTAGTGAAGTGCGAGGACAATGGTGAAAAGATTCTGTATGTGCATAGAGGGCAACTATAATAATGCAGGATTTTATCTAAGTCCCCACCACACACAGCCTATAGCTTTAGCTCCCCCTCCCCCTCTTAAGACTCTTTGAGATTACTCTGGTTGCTCTTCTAATGTCCTAGAGTAGTATAATTAAAGAATATCAGCAGGTAGTGCTATCTTATGATAAAACTTCTACCCCAAACACTCATAAAAGCCTCTAATTCAATGCCACCTCTACGATGTCTATCTTTCCCGTCATGCTAAATAGCTAGTTCACTTCAGCCACGGTGTCTTTTGAAAATTGAGAGAAGTGTCTAATTTACAGATAAGATGATGTTGAGCTCACTTCAGTTATAATCAAGAGCACAGATAAATGAACACTGTAGCCGTGGAATGTGGCCATACAATACTTCAGTTACAGTAGTTGTGTGACGAATGGGTGGGGTCTGGACAGGGGACTAGTTGTTTATCAATTGGCAACAGTTGGAGGTATTTAATCAGAAATGGTATGCTTAAATTATGCTATAAAATGTGCTGTCGTTTGACACTGTGCCATGTGCAAAACAAATGGAAATGAGTGTCTTTGCGCTGCTAGTATTTGCTGGGCTGGCAGCAGCACAGCTAGTCTCTTGCGCTGACTTCAATCATAAAGTTGAGTGTGGACCAGCTGATGTAGCATGCGAATGTGACGCTGATGCCACCGTATGCACCTTTGAGTTCTACGTGGAGTATGTCTTAACCTTTGCCAAGTATAATAACAGCATCCGCTACTCTCAAGGTCAAGGAGAATTGTTTTATATCAATGATACAGGGAACTTCATTTCTTATAGAGGCATAGGAAGATGCAAGGAAGGCAACTTTGTCAAACAGACTGAATCTGAGTTATACTGCAATGAGGAAGATTTTTGCGTTGAAAGAAGCAAGCTGTGTGCTGGGCCGATAACAGTTGATAGCAAAACATATAGCCAGTTATTGCAGTTAACAGACAGTTCCCTGGACCAACTCTGATAGTTCGTGAAGGGCAAATAGTTGCAGTTGATGTGCACAACAATCTCAGTACTGAAGGGGTAACCATTCACTGGCATGGACAGCATCAGATAAAGACCAACTTCATGGATGGAGTCAGTCAACTAACGCAGTGTCCCATTTTACCAGGAACTTCATTTCGCTACATATTTAAGGCCTCTCCTAGTGGAACATTTTGGTACCACTCACATATTGGGTCTCAGCGAGGACAAGGCCTATTTGGGGCTTTCATTGTGAAGGAGAACGAAATAAATTACCCAATTGCATTCGTAGATGACCCTGCCAGTCATACTATGACAATTATGGACTGGTTTGAAAGGGATAAAGAGGATTTTTTTCGAACAGTGCGATTAGATGTCGGACAATATCCGGACCTACCGCCATTTGTTTTTCCTTCTGACGTGAATCCAGCTAATATGTATTCCGTAACTTTATTTCCAGATTTTACTTTAGCTGGTCTTGACCCTTTTGTGGCTGGTTTAATAAATGGTAAAGGTAGGCATTACAGTGTGCCTTACAACCGCTCCAGCCTAACAATCTACGAAGTTGAACAAGGAGAGACGTATCGTTTCAGAATCATTCATACGGGGACACATTATGCTTTTAGACTCTCTATCGATAATCACAAGTTGAAGGTGATGGCAACAGACGGATACCTAATACAGCCAGTGGAGGTTGACTACATAGCAATACAATCTGGAGAACGGTATGATTTTCTACTGGAAGCTAATAAAACAAGTGGCAATTACTGGGATAAAAGCCTAAACTTTTGAAATAAACATTGGAAACAGCACAGCTCCGCCATACAACTTCCATGACCACAAAGCCGAGGCTATACTACACTATGCTGGCTCGGACAGACCAACTGCAAGTGAATACGAAAATATTCCAAGTTCTCCAAGAGAATGCACACAAGAGAACCCATGCACGATTTTGAACTGCCCAATTGGACAATTCCATCCATCATACAACGTTGAATGCATTAGCATTGATAGTCTCAGACTTGTCGAAGCCACTCCTGAAAGTGAAATGCCCGACCAGATACCAGATGTCACTTATTTCACAAATATTGCAGGATTTTTGGGGAGAAACAAACCATTTAGCAGTATCAATGACAAACTTTTTGTGTTACCTCAATTCCCACTAACAACCTACTACGAAAAGAATGATGAAAATGCATATTGTGCCGTGGATTCTCAATGTGATTCAGATTTCGGGTGCGAATGTACTACTGTTCTGGACGTTGGTAGTAATGTGACAGTCAGACTTGTCATCAGTGCAGTGGGCGAGGAGAGAAATATTAATCACCCTATGCACATTCACGGCCACTCTGTCCATATCCTGAGTATCGGACGTGGTGAATACAGCCTTGCAAATGGCCGCTTAGTTAGTAGCACTCGAGACCTGACTTGTACCGAAGACGGAGATGACACAGAGACTCTTGACAATAATCGATGCCCTAACCCTCGTTTTAGGTCATCCAACACAACGTTTCCTCTTGACAAGTACACGGTTCGAAAGGACACCTTTATTGTGCCAGCTGGGGGCTATGTGGTGGTTTAGTTCCGCTCCGATAATCCTGGGTACTGGCTGTTTCATTGCCACTTTGACTGGCACCTAAGACAGGGCATGGCTCTTGTCATACGAGAGGATGTAGACAATATCAATAGACCCCCGGAGGAGATGGAAACTTGCAATTCCTTTATTGGGATGTCATGATTTCATGAAGCATTAGAAGACAAGGGAGTGATTCATTTGTTATTCCATTATCTTGATGACTAGCTTGGCGATTACGCTTGGAAGCTATTTTGATTGTAAAACCATAACCCATTACCTTACAAACTTAGCTTATCGTTGTGTCTTGTATATAGTTTGAGATGCTTATTTGCAACTCTGCTGTATTTATTAACTTGATATAGTTTGCTTATTTTATATATCGTAAAATGTTTGAAGTTAGCAACGAAAGCAAATCTGTGCCAGTGCTGCTTACTTGCTTAGCTACAGTATAATTATACTGTGCATGGCAAGCTAATGTTCAAGGAGGTGTTCATGCTTGGCTCACAGTAGGTTAACCAACAATGGTAAATGAAGTGTGCTATGCCTCATAGAGAGAAGAAAGGTGTAGATATAGTGCCAAGCTCCAGCCAATTGATAATAGCAAGTTACCATGGAAGCTATCTGTACCAGCACTTACATAACACATCTGTCCCTGTGTTACAATAACGGTTCATTGCAAGGTAATTTTAAAAGGGTGTCATGGCTGACATGTCTGCACATTATAACTGAAATCCAGTAAAATGATGTGCGCTATAGTGAGCTATGTATAGTGAGTGTATGTATACCTCACTTAGTGCCACCAAATACCAGCACATTGTGGTTACCATCGCAGCAAAACCAGCAGCACTTAGTACATATCTCATATCTGCCAACACTTAAACTTGTGTATATAACACATTGCTGTACGGTAATCTTCACTGATCATAACTGAACTCCCACAAACAATAGTAAATGATGTTTGCTATGCCTTGTTACTTACCTGCAGTGGGTATACCTCACTAGTGCCAAATTCCAGCCCATAAAGATCTAGCTAGCTAGCTACCATGGCAGCAAAAAAGAAGTGCAGCAAATCGGAATGCAATTATTACTGTGGCGCCACATTGACGAGTGTATAGTTAGTGGGTGTAGTGATCATAAGATTCCCTGATTAGTGCCAAATTCCAGCTGATTCTGGTCACCATGGCAGCAAAATGAGCTATATTGCACCTGTGCCAGCCCTTACATAGAAAATCTGTGCCAATGCTGCTTAATTACATTACTGTGCATGGCAAGCTAATGTTCAAGGAGGTGTTCATGCATGGTTCACTGTAGGTTAACGAACAATGGTAAATGAAGTGTGCTATGCCGCAGAGTATTGGGTGTAGATAAAGTGCCAAGCTCCAGCCAATAGAAAATTGCAAGTTACTATGAAAGCTATCTGTACCCAGCATTTACATAACACATCTGTCCCTGTGTTAAGCTAACACAATAACAGTGCATAGCAAGGTAATTTTATTAAAGGGTGTCATGGCTGACATGTCTGCACATAACTGAAAATCCTGTAAAATGATGTGCGCTATAGTGAGCTATGTATGTATACATCACTTAGTGCCACCAAATATATACCAGCACATTGTGGTTAACATCGCAGCAAAACAAGCAAAGCTTAGTAGCTACATATCTCATCTCTGCCTGCATACTTAACACATAGCTGTGTGGTAATCTTCCATGGTTCACTGCACGGTTTAAATCATAACTGTAACTCCCACAAATTATGGTAAATGATGTTTGCTATGCCTCATTACTTACCTGTAGTGGGTGTAGCTACCTCACTAGTGCCAAATTCCAGCACATACAAGATCTTCCATGTCAGCAAAAAAGAAGTGCAACACTTTGTGGTTACCATGCCATGGAAGCTATCTGTACCAGAGTACACAAGTGGAAAAATCATTTAAAGAGATGGTTCGAAGCACCAAAAAGGAAGAAACAAGGGTCATCACACAGCAAAGATACACAAAACTACATCACACCGTCCCTATATCTTTGTTCCATTTATTCATAGGAAATGTATCAGACAAAGATATAGGGATGGTGTTATGCAGTTTTGTGCACCTTGACCCTTGTTTCTTCCTTTTTGGTGTTTCAAGACATCTCTATATCCCCCTTCATTTTGAATAAATGATATTTCCACTATTTTTTAATGAACGGCTCTGACTACACTGCATTTTATTGTTGAGAGGTTGACCATGAAGAAATGTTAACTGCATTGCAAATTTGAAGCACTAGACCCTGAGCATTTGTAGTGATATGCAGTTGGATATACGTAGGCAGGGACACTAAAACCTGAAGTTCTACACAAACAATAGCTAATGGGCTGCGCCGCCGATGCCTGAAGCAGGGGACAGTGCATAAATACACAGATGACAATGTATTAGGTTTTGCACAGTTGTGTTTTCATGGGCAGGTATAATACAATGGTACAATGTTAGGTATATACCTGCTAGCTGGCACACACAATGGAGGCCACACGATGCGCCTTATGCAGTGGCGATGCTGGCATACGCGGTTCCTACAATGCAGGTTGTGCGCTTCCCGATTCATACTACATGGTATATAGGCACTGGCGAATTCACACGCGGAATCAGGACGACGCCCCCCTGCTTTGCGCATGCTCACTGTTGAGTTAGCAGCAAATGGCGTCGTGCAATACCTCCGAGGCCCGTGGAAGGGCTCCACGATCGACGGTAGTGACTTGCGGCAGGACCCGCTATCTCCCTACCGGAACCAGTTGAATGGCTGATTTTTTCACTGAACATCTTCAGATTCGTCGGATGTGTGCACAGACATCAAGCGATCGTTTCTTTGTTGGCGCACGTCGCTACAGCAAATCGTGGAGCTCTTCCAGAGTGACACTGAACGACGCCATTTGCTACTAAACTCAGCAGTCAGCAGTTCAGAGGGGCGTTTGCTGGTGATGCGCGCCCGTACCTGTGCATGCGCAGCCTCGAGCTCGGCGGTAGTGCCTCGCTCCTCCGCGAGACTATGATTTGTTGTTAGCTTGGGGAGAAACTCACACCACAGCGAGATCATACTACCTCGCTGAGAGTCTGTCACGGGCTAGCTACACTACAAGAGAGTCCCCACGTTGCAACTTCTGGGGTACGCAGAGCTGGTTTTCACGCCATATCGCATTAGCGAAATTAACAATGAAGCAAGTGTAGCGCTGAACCTCATTATCTCGTTGCGCGTGGCGGCAGAAAGCGTGGTAACAGACAGACGGACGGATCACATTGCCAACATCCACCTCGGCTGCTCTCTGCTGATCAACTGCGGGAATCACTGACTGACCCCAGTGAAGCGACCTTATCACTGGCAGCCTCACTCAGATCTACCTTTTCATCGTCATCATGAAAAATCCACACGCCCAGCCATATTCATATTTATTCAAATTTGTTTTTGTATATAATTTGTCTGCTGGCAATGTGATCCGCCGGAGATTGACTTGAATCTAGCCACAGATCTAATAGTAGTTCTCATATTTTGGAGTCATGAGGATGCGAAGATTAGCCTCCAGTGCTCTGGTCTAGTGGGGCCGTGGTCCCTAGCATCATCCCAGAGCTTCAGCCTGGTGTGAGTGCAGCAAGGCTTTCCTGAGATGACACTTGCCGTAACCCTTGCTGCGCATGCGCGCCGAGGGTTAAGGAAAGGCAATAGTAGGAAAGTGCAAGGCATTTTTGGTGAGCGGGAGCGAGCACACAATGACTGTATCTGCACGAGCCATCCTTGCCAATTTACAACTTGCATGTTGGAACCGCTAAGATTGGAAAGATACAGCCTCAGTCTGGCACACCTCAGTCACAACTCTCTTCAGACCACTACTACTATACTATACCCTCTCCACACCTCCAGTGGTAGCGAACTCTGCCAGTGAGTCCAACACTTCTCAAGTTCTCATCCCACTCTTGCAATTTTTCACTTTCGTTTTTCCTCCTCTCACCCTTCTTACTACAAAGTTTATTCCACACATGATCGACTTTATATCTTCAATAGAAAAAGCCTTCCCTGACAGGTCAGCACACCATATCTACATCTTCTGCCTTATTCATTATTTATGCATGTGCCCACTCTCTCTAGTCCTGTTCCTCTGCAACTGCTGGCCGACTATCTTCATTTCATCTCCTCTTCTCCACTCCTCCCCAACCTCCCTCTCTTCTTCCTCTTCCTTCCACATGCTGCCAAACACTCCTCCATTAACCCACTCGTAAGCCTACCACAGTGAAAAACTCTGAATATGAGACACCGTGGGGACATTGAAAACATTCGTTTTCATAATGTGTCCCTTATTAGAAGGTGGTAATGTATTGGTATAGGGCAAAACCAAGTTTCCTTTATAGAGAAGTGTTCCTTATTCAGAGGGCCCTTTTTCAGTGGTTTCATAGCTTGGTGCAGTAGTTTCTTTAGTTCGTGTACAATTTATTGCTTGTTAAGTGGGTGTGGCTTACCGGACGGTATTCCAAACAGGTTGTGATCCAGTTTATGACTTGTGTGGTAAGAGACAAGACATTACACATCAAGCTCTATGCCCCCACTCAGAGAACAAAATTGGCATGTTCTATGGTATGGGGAATCCTTATCTAGGGTTTTCATAAGTCAGAGATTCACACCTCCACACATACTTATAAGCAGTATTTCCCATGTTGTGGCACAAGTTGAGCATGACAAAAATCTTCAAACAAGTCAACTACACCCTGGTCATGAGAGGAAACGCCAACATGCACTCCACCCACCCATGAGGAAAAGGCAACATGCAATGCATTTGGCACACATGACATCAATAGCTCTGTGTAGGTCCACAGCAGCAGGAAGTATAGCTAGCTATATATCTGAGTGTGAGGTATTTTATGAACCCATAGCCTTGTAAATAACTACCATAATATTTTTGGAGTTGTGACAAGTGACTTTCGTGCTTGCGCTTGATAACTTATTGCAATGTGTATCTTTCCAAACAACTAAAGCCTACACATGTTCAAACTAGGTAGCTATAGAACTACACATGCACAACAAAACTGACTATAAAGTAGTTCGGACTGTATGTAGCTTCATCTACCTACAAGACCGAGAGTGCCATCATTAGCTCGATTAAAAGAATCGAGAAAAAGGGTGGCATTGCGGTGTAACCATCACCACTTCGATCATCCATGAAATCATGAATATCCCAGATGAAAGAATCACAGTATTCCATCTGCTTTGGAGGCTTTTTGGCTTTCTCGACAGCCTCATTTATGATCATGGACATTCCTTCTCGGTAGTAGAGCTGAACAAGACACTGAACGAACCAGTACCCAGGGTTATTGGAACGGAACTGAACCACCACATAGCCTCCAGCTGGCACAATAAAGGTGTCCTTTCGAACCGTGAACTTATCAAGTGGAAACTTTATGCCAGGAGGCCTAAAACGAGGCTTAGGGCAACGAATATCATCGAGAATATCTGTGTCATCTCCGTCATCTCTACAAGTCAGGTCTCGAGAGCTACTAAGCAAAGAACCATTCTCACTGCTGTATTGTCCGTATCCAACTTTCAGGACATGCACAGAGTGGCCGTGAATGTGAATGGAGTGGGTGGAGTTTCTCTCCTCACCCACTGTACTGATGACAAGTCTGACTGTCACGTTATCGCCAATGTCCATGACTGTAGTACACTCACACCCCCCCTCGCTCTCGCATATAGAATCCACTTCACAAAACAAGCTCCTGTCATTCTGTTCGTAGCGCGTTGTTAGTGGATGGGAGGGAAACCTGAAGTTTTTATCATTAATGCTGCTTATTGGTTTATAATGAGCCACAAACGCAGCCATGTTCATGAAGTACGTGACGTCTGGTGTTTCATCTGGCATCTCACCTTCGGGTGTAGATTCAACCAGCTTCATTGTATCAATGCCGATACATTCGATGTTGTACGAAGGGTGGAAATTTTCAAAGGGACAGTTGAGCATCTTGCATGGAGCCTCTTGTGTGCATTGCTTTGGGGTACTTGGGATGCTTGCGTACTCTGTTGATTTTGGTGGGTCCGTTTCCGAATAATGCAGTATTGCTTCAGCTTTATGATCAATGAAACTGTATGGTGGATTCGGGCTGCTTTCGAAATCTATTTCAAATGTTTCAGCTCTTATCCAAAAGTTTCCATCGCCTTGATTTGTCTCCAAGAGAAAGTCGTACCTTTCCCCTCCATGTAATGCTATGTAGTCCACCTCCACTGGCGCCACTAGATATCCATCGGTGGCCATCACTTTCAGCTTGTGTCCATCGATCGAAAATCTGAAGGCATACATTGTGCCGGTGTGAATGAGTCTAAACCGATAAATTGAGTTTGGTTCGACTTCATATATCTGTAATCTAGAGCGTTCATACGCCACATCAGGATGACGACCTTTTCCATGTATCAGTGCAGACCAGAACGGGTTTGTACCGATGTCAACATTATCTGGACCTCGCGTTAGATTGTAGCCATTGGAGGGGTCGAGGTCCGAAGGAGCAGTAAATGGTGGCAAGTCTACAATCCAACCCATGCCAAATTTTATGTGTCTGAAGAATTCTTCAGGGTCTTGCTGATACCAGTCCATCACCGTTATTGTGTGACTGGCTGGGTAATCTATGAATGAAATTGGATAGTTGATTTGCTTTTCCCTTACAATCAACGCTCCAAAAAGACTATTAGCTCGCTGAGACCCCATTTGTGAGTGGTACCAGAAAGTTCCGCTTGGGCCGGCTTTGAATATGTAGCGAAACGAGCTTCCAGGTTGAATGGGGCACTGTGTAACTAAACCCACTCCATCCATGAAGTTTGTCTTTATCTGGTGCTGTCCATGCCAGTGAATGGATATCCCTTCAGTACTGAGGTTGTTGTGAACATCGACTGCAACTATTTGTCCCTCATGAACTATCAGTGTTGGTCCAGGGAACTGCTTGTTGACGGCTATGAAAATCCTAAGAGTTTTTCCATCCACTGTTATAGGCTCAGTACAGAGTTTATTCTTTTCCACACACACTCCATTCTCATTGCAATACAAATCTTCGGATGTCCCAGCTCTTTTGATAAAAGTTCCTTCGTTGCATTTCCCTCTTCCATTTGTAGCAACAAAGTTTCCAGTTTTGTCAATGTAGACATGTTCTCCCTGACCCTGGAGATAAGGCAGACTGAAGTTGTATCTCGTCAATGTGAAAGCGTACTCCACATGCAACTGGAAGGTACAGACTGTAGCGTCGACAGCACATTCACATGCTGTGTCTAAAGGGCCACATTCAACAAAGTCATTGAAATGTGCTGAAGCAACTAGCTGGGCTAATCCAGCCAACAAAAGAATAGAAAACATTTCTGCTGGTAACAATTTATTTGCACACTCACACTAATGTGAACCGTACATTTTATAGCCTCCAACACAAATCTTTGTGTTGGTAGCTAATGGTTAAAAGTATTGGTACATTCCTGTTTGCTTCAAAGAAATTCCTTGGACTAGAACCAAATGCAGTCTTTAGTAGTGGCTTGCATTTAATATAGAGCTGCATAGTTTGTTCAATTATGGCTAAATGCAGTTTTGTACAAAATGTGAAGGTGGTCAATCATACAATTACCAGTGATACTTATAATAATTATTATAATCATGTCGTTAATGCAGTTCTTGGCACAATAGTAACTACAGCACCACTATTGGCAGAGGTTTGTTGTAGAGCAGGAATTCCTTGGACCAGAACCAAATGCAGGCCTTTGCTTACTTTTGTTGTTAGCTAATTGGTTATAACATGCCATAGCTACCAAATTGGTAGTGCTCCTTGTGCTCCACCCTGTATCAATCACACAACCTTGGCACAACGACAATACACTCACAAACATCATGTACGGAGGTTACTTTGCTCGTCATACATGCATTATGTACTTGTCCTAGTACATTAGCTAATGCGCAAACCTCATTCATGTCATAGCTCTTACACTTCCAGCCCTCCCTTCATGGTGGTTTCATGTAGCTATAGACAATATCACATCAGTTGCCTAAAACAATGGTCCATATCCAGGGTAGCTATGTTGTAGCTAGCTACATGACACACTAACAACAATACATCATACAAACGATATTTGTTCTCATTGTGTGATTAACCCGCTTAATGATAGTAGATGTTGTAAGTCAGTCCGCATGTATTATATATTGCAGAGGAACATAATTATTTTTATGCCCTGATGGTTTTGGAAGTGTTTTGCAAACACACTAGCTCTATTCACTGTAAATCCATACATGTTAGCATGCTACAAGAAATGGATGCTAAAACTTTTCAAAAGAACAGCAAGCTAAGTGGCTGCGTAATGTTCGGTTTTGCTACAATAATGTTCGGATCTTCCGATGAGTCATTAAAACGAGTCCAACAGAAATGTTATTACAACATTGCTGAAGAGCAGCAATGAGGTGCTTGTTGCAACTGAATATCCACTCCCCCTTTTATCCTCTATCGCTGTCATAAAATCGTTGACATCCATAATAAATGAATTGCATGTTTTCATCTCCTCGGGTGGGGCTATTATCTGATCAACAGCTTCTCGTATTATCATCGACATTCCTTGTCTGTAGTAAAGCTCGATGAAACACTTAAAAAACCAATACCCTGGGTTGTTAGAACGGAACTGAACCACCACATAGCCACCAGCCGGCAAAATAAAGGTGTCTTTTCGAACTGTGAACTTGTCAAGAGTAAATGATATATTGGTCGATCTGAAACTAGGATTAGGGCAACGAATCTTGTCAAGAATATCACGGTCATTTCCATCATCTCTACAAGTCAGGTCTCGAGAGCTGCAAGCAAAGAACCATTCTCACTGCTGTATGTCCATACCATATTTCAAGACATGCACAGAGTGGCCGTGAATGTGAAGAGATGATAGATTTCGTTCCTCGGGCAATTGCACTGATGACAAGTCTGACTGTCACATTGCTACCAACGTCCATGACTGTAGTACATCTGCACCTTCCCTCCTCCCTCTCCCAGCTCACACTCAGAGTTTATGTCACAAAACGAACCTTCCTCATTTTGATCGTAGTATGTTGTTAGTGGGAATTGAGGAAAGCTGAAATGTTTCTCATTGAGGCTACTTACAGGCTTTAGTGGTCCCGCGTATCCGGCCATGTTTATGAAGTATGTGATGTCTGGTTCCTCTTCAGGCATTTCACTGGCAGGTGTTGGTGCAAAAAGTCTAAGTTTGTCATCACCAATGCACTCAATGTTGTATGAAGGGTGTAGTTTCTCCGTAAGGACATCAAGCATCTTGCACGGACTACATTGTCTTGGAGAGTTTAAAATGTTAGCAAACTCTGTTGGCTTGGCACATCTGTACCAGAATAATGCAAAATTGCTTCAGCTTTGTGGTCAATGAACTTGAAAGGTGGACCGCTAGTACCATCAATTTCAAACGTTTCGGCTTTTATCCAATAATTGCCTCCCCCTTGGTTGGCCTCCAACAGAAAGTCATATCTCTCCCCTCCTTCCAACGCTATGTAGTCCACTTCCAGAGGATTTACTAGATATCCGTCTGTGGCGATCACAGTTAGCTTATGATTGTCGATAGAAAATCTAAACCCATACATTGTACCAGTATGAATCAGTCGGAATCGATATGTTTGCCCCGGTTCAACTTCATAGATATTTAAGCTGGATTGATTATAGGATACATCAGGATGTCTGCCTTTGCCATGTATTATTGCAGACCAGAATGTATTGATGCCAATTTTGATGAAATCTGGGCCTGTTGTTCGTGGAAGAATAAGCTGGTTTTCATTTGGTAGAGTAAAGATTGGTTCATCACCAAGTCCGTGTTTCATACGCTTGCAAAACGGTTCCGGATCCTCTAGAAACCAGTCCATGATTGTCAGTGTATGATGAGCTGGATCATCTCTGAATGAAACAGGATATGACATTGGATCTTTCTCTTTTACAATGAATGCACCAAAAAGGCCAATTCCACGTTGAGACTGCATTTCAGAGTGATACCAGAAGGTTCCACTTGGACCGGCTTTGAATATGTAGCGAAACGAGCTTCCAGGTTGAATGGGGCACTGTGTAACTAAACCCACTCCATCCATGAAGTTTGTCTTTATCTGGTGCTGTCCATGCCAGTGAATGGTTATCCCTTCAGTACTGAGATTGTTGTGAACATCGACTGCAACTATTTGTCCCTCATGAACTATCAGTGTTGGTCCAGGGAGCTGCTTGTTAACCGCGATAACTGTCTTATAAGTTTTTCCGTCCACTGTTATTGGTTCACTGCAGAGCTTACTTTTAGGAAGACACATGTTTACTTCATTGCAGTATAAATTATCTGACGATCCACTTCCAGTTTGTTTCGTAAAAGTTCCTTCGATGCATCTTCCCCTGTTATGGAAGGGAACAAATTGTCCCATGTTATTAATGTAGTAGGATTCTCCTTGTCCATGACTATAGGGAACGCTATAGTTGTACTTGGTGAAGGTAAAGACACGCTCAATGTATAGCTGAAAGATGCAGACAGTGGCATCAGCGCCACACTCACATGCTGTGTCTACAGGCTCACACTCAACAAAGTCTTCAACTTGTGTAGAAGCAACTTGTTGGGTCAATACAACCAACACGAGCAGAAGAGACAACATTGTTTTTTGCTTACTTGCTAATCCATTGCACATATCCTTTTTATACAAAACCATTATAGTATGCATGTTTTGACAAAGTATAGAGCTATTATCAATGGGCCAATGCACTATAATAGTAACTACACCACCACTGTTGGCAGAGGTTTGTTCTAGAGCAAGAATTCCTTGGACCAGACCCAAATACGTGCTTTACTTACTTTTGTTGTTAATTGGTTTTAACATGCCACACCAAATTGATACTGCTCCAGGTGTTCCACCCTGTATTATTAGGTATTCATTATTGCATGCCTAAATACACAGGAGGGTACTTAACCCTTGTGCACTTGCATGTTCATTGCCTGCAGCAAACACACCATACGCATGTGCATGTCAAACAGCTAAATGGATGGGGTAGGGGGTATCTACAGCACGTTATTCGTTGACACTTCAGATGCCTCCACAATGCAAAGAACAAGCAGAGTCCGGTCGAGGTAAGCGAGTGTTTACCGTTACAATAATATTATTTTGCTCGTTTATGAGTTCTTATGAAAAATGCCATTTTAAGACTCATCAAAAGCATGTAGAAAACAGTGTTTTGGCTATATATAATTGCACAAAAATTATCGTAAGACTTTCTTTTGACACTCGTTTTAGCTGGAGTCCCTTGTTAAGGGTTCAAAAATCATGCATATTATAGTTCTCACTATGTAGTATATAGAGTACTTCATCAATCACCGGACACCACTCTTTATCGGACACCTTCGAATTGTCGGACCGCAATGTCTTGTATACCTACAACTCACTGCAAGGGCAAGGCGAGTTACATGCCGTAAGTTCCTCCCTTGCGGGAACTAGTATCCGCCTTATTTTGCCTCAAATGCGCATGCGCAATCGTTTGAAGCACGTGGGCGGAGTCTTTGTGCATAATTGCGGCGGTTTGCGCACAGCTGTACGACGCTGTACTGGCGTGTTCAGCTGTAGTATTTTAGTGTTCGGTACATAACGTTGTCTCCTTTGTCTCCGTTGTCTCTTTAGCTTTACAATCAAGCACTGTCCGAACATAGGGGCCATATTCCGACTGACGGTGGTTCGGACGGTGAGCGATCTTTGTGCCGCCGTAGCGTTACTATCCCTCTGCCGAAGCTGGTACTGTGCATGCCTGTTGAGTGATACCCTCTGAGGTACTGAACGTAGCGAGGATAGCTAACTCTGTCTGGTCCGAGAGAAATGGCTGTGTCCGGGTGATGGTGTCCGATAATTGATGAGCTACTCTACTAGTGGAAATGTTGAACATTGTTGGCGAGCGGGAGCGACCCAACTTGGGCGCGATGTTCAGGCTGCATAACCTTCCGTCAGCGCACAGCTTTCCTTTCGTGAAGCAAGACAGATCTACCAGTCGCCGTTACATGCGTACTGTACATTGGCAGAACGGTACTTACCTTATGCTTTCATAAGTCGTGGTCCACCAGGCATGCAGCAGTATCTGCACTAGCTTACTTTGAAGTTGCACCTTCGAACCATGAAGATTGGGAAGAGGTACAGCCTCGGTCAGTCACCGAAGGTTGCATCGCATGCTGTCGAATGGAGAATTCTCTGGCTGGCTATATAGATCGATCGGCGCATAATATCCGGAGGTATATAGCGTGTGTGTGTGTGAAATGTACAAAAATGTGAAAATGATTTCGGATAAAAAGAAGCGCGTAAGAGGCCGCGCATGCGCAGTTACACGACGTACCAACGACGATAATTCCGCTCGAACGAACGACTAGGTTGGCTCGCTCCCGCTCGCCAATAAACATGACAGTGCTAAGCAAAACTTATTTCCGCTATGCATACCTACCAACCATCCAGCTTTTTGCTTGATAATCAAGCAAAAAAATACTGCCTATCCCACCAGAAAATCGCAAAATCCCTCTTTTTTGTGCTAACCTGTGATGCATCATGCCCACACATTTTGAATGGACACACGGCATTTTCAAGCAAAAATACTCCAAATCAAGCCAATTCGACACATTTTTCAAGCAAAGCTTTATCTGCAGGTTGGTAGGTATGGCTATGTAGTGCTGCATAGACTTTGCAGGTTGTTTTTCACACTTTAAATCCACTATTAAAGCTGCGGGTCGGTTATCACTGCCCAGCAATCTCTTCCAGTTATTCAAAGGTTGTGTGTATATTAGAGAGTCGGTAGACTCTCTATAGGGATGACGCGGGTGAAATCTCACGTGATCCGCCTACTAAAAACCCGGTGAGAATCACTCCCTAGGCCTTCAAAAACATACTAGCAATAGTCTACGGGCCCATATCTACCTATACATGTCCCCCAAGACCTCATACGCACCTTCAGTCGTCCACGGGAGAATTCGCTCTTCCATGGTGGACAATGAACAACGCATCGGTGAGCCGCTCGCGCGCATGCGCAAGGCAGGGGCGTTGTCCAATGCATTACCATGGGAGTTGGCAGACCTGCAGAGGAACTCTCAGCCTCCAGTACCTTCTGTAAGTAAGTGTGCACATTTCCAACTGGCTAGCTTGCTGTTTGCACCAAGAGCAACTTGCCAGAGTCTGCGCGGTGTTACGCGAGCCTTGCGGGGCGCTCAGTCTTCATTGTTTCCCCCCCCCCAGGTTGTAGCATGCGCAGCGAGGGTTACTGTAGTTGGGTTTGCGTGTGTGTCTGTTACTCTCAATCTCACTTCTCGAGTGTCTGTTCGTCTCACAAACGATGCGACGTACTTAACGGGCAATGAAGGTCAGAAATTATGAACGGTTTTTCTCTGAAAATGCTTCGTTGCAGAGCTACAGCACATTGTACGGCATACGGCTAGTGTCGGCCATTTTACTCTGCGGATATCGCGCATGCGCATTATTCGTGCACGGGTGGAAAAAGCGGCCATTTTGCTTCTAGTTCGGTGAGAGGAAGGTGTCCAGTTGCGTGAGTTGCCAATTTCTCTGTCATGCCTCCGAGTAAGGTATGCCCACAATTGTACATGTAAGGCTGAAAGTGTGTAAATCTTGCCAACATGTCTTTCGAGCCAAGAGAAAAGCAGAGCATAATTTGCCAGACAAAGCCATGAAACGCGTGCGAGTGTTACAGATACTAAGATAAGTTGCTAAGAGAGCACTCATCAGAAACTAACGAGCAAAGACAACTGCGGAACAGAAAGCACATGGCTAGCATGAGAGCAAGTGAAACTAGCGAGCAAACGGTGCACAAACGAGAAAAAGACAGGAGCAAGTGAAAACTAGCGAGTAAACTGTGCACAAACGAGAAAAAGACAGATTGCCTGTCAAGAAAACCCGCATCTCTGAGTAGCTAACTGGGGGCCGTTAAGCCCTAGGAGTCAGATTATGGACAAAGGAAGTCAGCCACAACGCGTAAGCATTCTTCTGGAGGGTGTGCCTACAATGGGGGTTGTAGACAGTTGAGCGGACATAACGATTATGAGCAAAGATCTGCTTAGACGAGTTGCAGCAGCTGCTAAGCTTGGCCGAAGCCGATTGAAGAAAGTGGACAAGGTTCCAAGAAGCTATGACGGCCATCCCTTTACTTTACATGGACGAATAGATCTCGACATAACCTTTTAAGGTCTAACGATGCGAACCCCTGTCTACATAAAACTAGACGCCTCGGAGCCACTCCTCCTATCGGAAGGGGTTTACCGCCAGTTACGCATCCTCAGTTACCATCCCAGGGTCAGTGGACACTGAGACAGACAGGGAGTGAGAGTGAGAAGTCCCAGCAATGTCGAGAAGACTGAAGATATTCAAAAACACGGTGAGCAATCACAGTCATCGACTGAGGAAGGCGAGGAAAGATCACAATTCTCTCAGGGAAATGACCAAGTTGTTCCACACCGGAACAGGGATGGTGGGACCGTACCATCTCAGCAAAGTGGCGGGAAAGAACTTGGGATAGAGGGGGGTGTTGAAGATGGACTTCCCACCCAATCACAAGGACAGGATATAGGGGCCGCTACTATGCCTGAACCGAAAGTCCTGGAAAAGTCACGGAGACATGATGAGAAACAAGCTGCGCAGTCAACCAAGAATGAAGCAACACCAGACAACACCAGAGCAGTGGGGCAAAAAGCAGACACGCATGGTCGGGGCCGCAACCCAGCCATAACAGCAGAACAGTGTGGGGAGCCTGGGAACAGGAAGGAAGTAAAGAGAACTGCCCCTTTAGACACGAACAATGAGATAGTTGGAGACAGAGACAGAAGGACATCAAATGACAACAAAGGTCGGAGCCGAGCTGCGGAGCCTGGGAGAGAGACTACTCACACCACTCAGGGCCTGATGGAGACAACGCAGACAACTCAGTCCATACAGAGTTCTGGGGAGGCTACGAAGGTTACTCGGAAGACCCAAGCGGAGATCCCAAGCAATGCTCAACCTGGAGAGGATAATCACATTGATGACGACACGCCTGAGGTGGAAGTTCGAGTATGCCTACTGCAATCTGTGGAACTGCTCCCGGGACGGAGTGCATTTGTTCCAGTCGGAGTCGAAGGAAACTTCCCAGACTACAGTCCTCTTCTAATCGAATCAGTTGGAGCAGGAATGGAGTCGGATGGGTTTCGGATCAGTGACGCACTGCTACAGCCGGGCCCAGACAACAGAGGACAAGTCTTACTGGAAAATCCTACGGGATTCACACAAACGATGTCGGAGGGGACTAGAGTCGGGACTGCCTCACCTGTGGTGGTCGAGAGACAAGAAATAACGGAAGATGACCTCAGAGTGTGGAGGGTTGTGACTGGAAAGCAAGGGGAAGACCAGATCAGAGTAGAGAGGAGAAAGAAGGAACTAGAGTTTATCCTGGAAGAACCAGACCTACCTGTGGAAGAGAAAACGGAGCTTTTGAAGTTCCTCACACCATGCATTTTCATTGGAAGAGGGAGAGCAGGGTGAGACCAGTCTGGTGCAGATGGAGATAAACACTGGAGAGGCTCGTCCAAAGAGACAGCAAGTGAGACGAATGCCACCAGCAGTACGACACGAAGTTACCCGGCAACTGGAGCATATGCAACAGAACGGAGTGATTCAGCCGTCGAACTCTCCCTGGGCAAGCCCAGTAGTACTTGTGAGAAAGCGGGATGGAAGCCACAGATTCTGTGTGGACTATAGGAGCCTCACCTCGGTCACTGTTCCCGATAGTTTCCCTCTGCCTCGTATAGACGACCTGCTGGATCAACTCGGAGATTCTCAATACTTCTCCACTATTGACTTGGCATCAGGATTTTGGCAAATCCGTATGCACCCATCTGCTCAAAAGAAGACTGCATTCGTGGTCCCGCAGGGATTGTATGAGTTTCGAGTTATGCCTTTCGGCCTAACCAACGCCCCTGGTGTATATATGCAGCAGGTTCTAACTGGCCTTAATCCTCCCCATGGTCCAGCCTTTGTGTCAGTATACTTGGATGATCTCCTGGTCTATTCTTCTTCTCTGAAGGACCATTTGCAGCATCTCCGAATGGTGATTGAGAAACTGGCAGAGGCTGGTCTGAAGCTGAAGCCAGCCAAGTGCCACTTTGCCAGGAGTGAATTAGAATACCTGGGACATGTTGTCACACGTCACGGCCTCAAGACGAACCCCAGATTGGTCGAAGCTGTGAAGGAATTTCCAACTCCAAGCAATGTTCACGAAGTTCGTCGATTTCTCGGTTTGGCTTCATACTACAGGAAATTCATCCCCAATTTTGCAAGGATTGCAAGCCCATTGCACTACCTAACCAGGAAGGATACCCAGTGGCTGTGGACGCCGGGGTGTGAGTCAGCATTTCGGAAACTCAAGGAGTCGTTGACCACAGCCCCTGTCCTCGCATATCCAAGGTTTGACCTGGAGTATATTCTGGAGACGGACGCTTCCATCTGTGGACTTGGAGCCGTACTGAGTCAGGAGCAGTCTGACGGGAGGCTTCATCCTGTGGCCTATGCAAGCAGAGCATTATCTCCAACTGAACGAAACTATGGAGTAACGGAACTCGAAACATTAGCAGTCGTCTGGGCCTTCTCACATTTCAAGCACTTTCTATACGGGAATTCAGTCACTGTGTATACTGATCACACCTCGGTGAAAGCTGTCCTGGAATCTCCCAACCCCACAGCTAAGCACGCGAGGTGGTGAACGAGGGTGTAGCTATGGTAGAGGAGTTAAGGATGTCCGACTCTGCTACAGAGCTGGCAGAGAGAACAAAAGTGCCGATGCACTATCCCGTGGCCCTCAGCTACCGGCTCCTGCCATTGGAACAGCAGATGGAGAAGTTCAGGTTGCTACTGTTTCCTCAGGGAGAGACTCAACGGTGGAGACTACAGCCGCAGACACGGTGGAGATTACAGCCGCAGACACGGTGGAGATTACAGCCGCAAACACGGTGGAGACTACAGCCACAGACACGGTGGAGATTACAGCTGCAGACACGGTGGAGACTACAGCCGCAAACACTGTGGAGACTACAGCCGCAGACACGGTGGAGATTACAGCCGCAGACACTGTGGAGACTACAGCCGCAGATACGGTGGAGACTACAGCCGCAGACACGGTGGAGACTACAACCACAGATACTCACTCTACTGTGGAGACTACAATCCTGAGATCAGCAGATGCCCACACGATGGAAGGGATCAGTAGTGTAGACGACCGAGCCCAAGCCAGAAAGGTGGTCAACCTTGAACCAGTGGTTCCCTACTCAGCAAAGACGACCACTGTCTACAGACTTGACCCTAGGCCAGTGGGATATGTGACCGCTCCCAACCCTCATGGAGACACAGCACTGCACAGGGGAGAGTAGAAGTCGACTTGGCTGTGGGGCAATTATTGTCGGATCGGACAACAGCAATCACACTGCGAAAGCTAAGCATGCTGAAGGGTGTGCTGCTGGTCAAGGCCAAAGCCCTGTGGGGTGTGACACGTCAGTTCTTCCACAATCTGAAGATAACCTAGTTACGACGGTTGCTCAGGTCGTATCCACTCAGAGTGGGAGGCAGCACCAAGTGCCGACCGACTGCGGTACATTGGGGACGAGCAACAAAGAGATTCAGAGGTGATGGAGATCAAGCAGTACCTGTCAAGTGGTGCACTGCCACAAGACCAGAAAAGAGCATGGACGTTGGCATTACAAGCTTCACTGTTTTCTCTTATCGATGGAGTGGTCTACAGAACAGATCCAAAGACCAGACACAAATGTGCAGTGGTTCCAGGTCACCTACGTGAGGAGTTACTCCGAGTGACTCATGCCGGAAAGTACAGCGGTCATTTCTCGGGAAGACGCCTGTTTGACACACTAGCAATGAGTTGGTGGTGGGAGACAATGCGAGCAGATGCTGAAAGTTTGTGAGGTCATGCCCCGAAGTGTGGTTGCCACTGGAACTGGACGGCGGTACAAGCCACCACTCCACCCATCCCAGTTGAACGCCCCTTCCAAGTTTGGGTATTGACATCATGGATTTGCCTCTTACTGAAAAAGGCAATAAGCACGTGGTAGTAATTCAGGACCTCTTCACAAAGTGGCCTTTGGTCTTCCCCGTCCCCGATCAAAAAGCAACCAGGATCGCAAGATTGATCGCAGAGGAGGTAGTTCCACTCTTCGGAGTACCGGAGTCTCTTTTGTCAGACCAATTTGCTCTCTCACCTGGTCCTGGACCTCTGTCATATGCTAGGAGTAACCAAACTGAACACAACCGCCCACCACCCCCAGTGCGACGGAGCTGTTGAGAGGTTCAACAGAACACTAAAGACTATGTTGAGAAAGCACGCAGCACGTTTTGGTAACCAGTGGGACACCTACCTGTCAGGAGTCCTCTGGGCTTACAGAAACACTCCCCACACCTCAACTAGAGAAAAGCCATCATTCCTTTTGTTTGGGATCGACTGCCGATCACCAACTGAGGCTGCATACATGCCTACTGGAGACTTGTGGCCAGCCCAGGTAGATGACTACAGAGAGCAACTGATGATGACACTGAGTTCTGCCAGGGAGTTAGCACCTAGCAATATCCGGAAAGCCCAAGGCAGATACAAGGAGCAGTACGACAGGCATGCCAGACCCTGCGACCTTCGTCTGGGCCAGTGGGTGTTCGTCAAATTCCCTCAAGACGAGTTTGGACGTCTGCGCAAGCTATCACGACCATGGCATGACCCTACCGACTATCAGCATAAAGAATCCCGATGTCACTGTGGTCAAGTGTATCACCCTCAGCATGGAGAATGCGGGTACACACCAGACGCGTTTGTGCCTGTGTCCAGATAACTTTCCTGCCGGTTACTATTGGTATGGAGGGAAACAGAAAGGGCCAGGACGGACCACCCAAATGGGTAGAAGTTCCTTAACTCTGGCCAACTATTCAGCACCCTGTTCCAGATGCAATGTCGAGAACCCCCACGAGAATCAATCAGAACGCGAGGATCAGTCAGAGAACGAGAATCAGTCAGAGGATGGTTCGAATGAGGATACAGCTGATACAGTTGCCCCCAGCGTGGATGCAGGAGAAGACAAGGGTCTGGGAACAACCCCACTGTCAATGACCACTGGCGACCCATCACCGGCAACTGCTGCCGTATTCGAGGGAAGGAGGGTCCTGGTGGAGATGCGACCAAGCCAGACGTACAGAGGAGCCAGAGCAACACTACCTGGATACAGGGGGACACAGCTCTTCAGATGAGCTCGGATGCTGGAGGATTTCAGGGACCAGATGTGAAGAGGGGAAGACAACTGAGGAGGAACGTCCAACCCCCGGAGCGATATATGTAGACAGTTCGAGGGCGAACTTAGTCCGAGGGGGGGGGAGGTGTAATAGCCGCTAGGGCATGACTGCCATTGCGATCATTATCACTATATAGTATACGCACACTTATATCACCCAGACACACCCCTCTTATTACTGTACTGTATGAGCATGCGCATGAGAGTGTTGGCCGCGTGGCTGGCCGAGAGAGAACCGCTGTCTCTTGTGGTGCGTGAGAGAAGCGTTTTTACACATGTTAGCATGCTACAAAAAATGGATGCTAAAACTCCTTACTTTTCGAAAAGAACAGCAAACGCTAACACTGAGTTTCTGCGTAATGTTCGGGCTTTGCTACAATAATGTTCGGATCTTCCGATGAGTCATTAAAACGGGTCCAACAGAAATGTTATTACAACATTGCTGAAGAGCAGCAATGAGGTGCTTGTTGCAACTGAATATCCACTCCCCCTTTTATCCTCTATCGCTGTCATAAAATCGTTGACATCCATAATAAATGAATTGCATGTTTTCATCTCCTCGGGTGGGGCTATTATCTGATCAACAGCTTCTCGTATTATCATCGACATTCCTTGTCTGTAGTAAAGCTCGACGTAGCACTTAAAAAACCAATACCCTGGGTTGTTAGAACGGAACTGAACCACCACATAGCCACCAGCCGGCAAAATAAAGGTGTCTTTTCGAACTGTGAACTTGTCAAGAGTAAATGATATATTGGTCGATCTGAAACTAGGATTAGGGCAACGAATCTTGTCAAAAATATCACGGTCATTTCCATCATCTCTACAAGTCAGGTCTCGAGAGCTGCCAAGCAAAGAACCATTCTCACTGCTGTATTGTCCATACCCATATTTCAAGAGATGCACAGAGTGGCCGTGAATGTGAAGAGAATGAATAGCTTTTCGTTCCTCGCCAATTGCACTGATGACAAGTCTGACTGTCACATTACTGCCAACGTCCATGACTGTAGTACATCTGCACCTTCCCTCTCCCTCTCCCAGCTCACACTCAGAGTTTATGTCACAAAACGAACCTTCATCATTTTTATCGTAGTATGTTGTTAGTGGGAATTGAGGAAAGCTGAAATGTTTCTCATTGAGGCTACTTACAGGCTTTAGTGGTCCCGCGTATCCGGCCATGTTTATGAAGTATGTGATGTCTGGTTCCTCTTCAGGCATTTCACTGGCAGGTGTTGGTGCAAAAAGTCTAAGTTTGTCATCACCAATGCACTCAATGTTGTATGAAGGGTGTAGTTCTCCGTAAGGACAATCAAGCATCTTGCACGGACTACATTGTCTTGGAGAGTTTAAAATGTTAGCAAACTCTGTTGGCTTTGGCACATCTGTACCAGAATAATGCAAAATTGCTTCAGCTTTGTGGTCAATGAACTTGAAAGGTGGACCGCTAGTACCATCAATTTCAAACGTTTCGGCTTTTATCCAATAATTGCCTCCCCCTTGGTTGGCCTCCAACAGAAAGTCATATCTCTCCCCTCCTTCCAACGCTATGTAGTCCACTTCCAGAGGATTTACTAGATATCCGTCTGTGGCGATCACAGTTAGCTTATGATTGTCGATAGAAAATCTAAACCCATACATTGTACCAGTATGAATCAGTCGGAATCGATATGTTTGCCCCGGTTCAACTTCATAGATATTTAGGCTGGATTGATTATAGGATAAATCAGGATGTCTGCCTTTGCCATGTATTATTGCAGACCAGAATGTATTGATGCCAATGTTGATGAAATCTGGGCCTGTTGTTCGTGGAATACGCTGGTATTCACTTGGTAGAGTAAAGATTGGAACCTCAGGGTAATCACCAAGTCCGTATTTCACACGATTGCAAACTGTTCCGGATCCTCTCGAAACCAGTCCATGATTGTCAGTGTATGATGAGCTGGATCATCTATGAATGAAACAGGATAGGAGATTGGATCTTTCTCTTTTACAATGAATGCACCAAAAAGGCCAATTCCACGTTGAGACTGCATTTCAGAGTGATACCAGAAAGTTCCACTTGGGCCGGCTTTGAATATGTAGCGAAACGAGCTTCCAGGTTGAATGGGGCACTGTGTAACTAAACCCACTCCATCCATGAAGTTTGTCTTTATCTGGTGCTGTCCATGCCAGTGAATGCTTATCCCTTCAGTACTGAGGTTGTTGTGAACATCGACTGCAACTACCTGTCCCTCATGAACTATCAGAGTTGGTCCAGGGAGCTGCTTGTTAACCGTGATAACTGTCTTATAAGTTTTTCCGTCCACAGTTATTGGTTCACTGCAGAGCTTACTCTTAGGAAGACACACGTTTTCTTCATTGCAGTATAAATTGTCTGACGATCCACTTCCAGTTTGTTTCGTAAAAGTTCCTTCGATGCATCTTTCCGTATTACGCAAAGGAACAAATTGTCCCATGTTATTAATGTGGTAGGATTCTCCTTGTCCATGACTATAGGGAACGCTATAGTTGTACTTGGTGAAGGTAAAGACACGCTCAATGTATAGCTGAAAGATGCAGACAGTGGCATCAGCATCACACTCACATGCAGTATCTACAGGCTCACACTCAACAAAGTCTTCAACTTGTGTAGAAGCAACTTGTTGGGTCAATACAACCAACACGAGCAGAAGAGAGAACATTGTTGATGTAAGCGCTTTGCTTACTTGTTTATCCCATTGCACATATCCTTTATATACAAAACGAATATTATCATTATGGAGAGAGTACAGATGTTTCATCACTGGGCCAATGCACTATAGCTAGCTACCAGGCAACAATAGTAACTACAGCACCACTGTTGGCAGAGGTTTGTTGTAGGGCAGGAATTCCTTGGACCAGAACCAAATGCAGGCCTTTACTTGCTTTTGTTGTTAATTGGTTAAAAAATGCAATACCAAATTGATACTGCTCCTTGTGCCCCAACCCTGTATAATTAGGTATTCATTATTGCATGCCTATAGGTACACAGGTAGACAGAAGAGGGCTCTTTACCTTGGCGCACTCACACGTGCATTGCTTGCTCCAAACACACCATACACATGCGCAGGTCAAACAGGTGATTGGACAGTGTAGGGACAGCGTCATTCGTTGAAACTTCAGATGGCCTCCACAAAAAAAACAAGCAAAAAAATTTAGTCCGGTCAAGGTAAGACTCTGCTTACCGTTATCAATACAACCAACACAAGCAGAATTAAAAATATTGTTGATGTAAGCGCTGCTTAATTGTCTATCCCATTGCACATATCCTTTTTCAAATATTATCATTATGGAGAGAGTATAGATCTATCATCACTGAGCGAATGCACTATATTATTATAATTATTATATAGCTACAAGGCAACAATAGTAACTACAGCACCACTGTTGGCAGAGGTTTGTTGTAGAGCAGGAATTCCTTGGGACCAGCAGGCTTTTAGCTACTTACTTTGTTGATAATTGGTCTTACCATACTAGGGGCGCGCGCACGATGACGTTGTTTGAACACGCGGAACAGAGTTCTGGGTCGAGGCTGCGACTACTATACAGGCGGTGCAGCGCAGTCGCACGATATTTTTACAAGCCGCATGCGTGACGTGGTCCATTAGAGGTCACGATCACACCACTACCCAGTTCTGATTGGACTGCACATGCATCGACTCCACGTGGTTGCGTACGCACGTGGGAACCTAGCCCGCGAGACATACAGCGCTCCCTCACGCGCAGCAGTTAGCTACGAAACACGGAGCAACGGTGTGTGTGTGTTGGTCAGTGCCGGCCGGATAAAAATCCTCCATTCAGACACTGGTCACCTATTACTGTCGTTTCCCGTCTTGCTCTCCCCCCTCACTGAGAGTGTTAGCCTTTTCCTACGAGTGATTACGAACTACAGTATGACAGTGTTGTCTCTATTATAAAGCTATAGCCAGAGCTCGCTATTTGTACTCTGTCGATAGTTTTTGGGAATCTTTATACTATAATACTATAGAGGCTATTTCTGTAGAGGAAGTCATCCTCCGACTTCATCAAAATGACATAGCGGAACCCGAACCGACCCTGAATGTGTAACCGTTGCGCCATTTTGAGAGGTCTTGCTCGCAACAGAAACAGAGGATAGTTTGCTATAATGATCAGATTGCTGCCGGACCCACCCTTTCTTGGGTAGGCGTGAACGTGCTATCTATCATTTCCTCCACGCAATTGTTGCCGAGCGCGTTAGCGTGAGGCAACTATTCCGGGTTGTATTCGCGTACGTGTCCGTCACGCTTAAGAATGTCAATTAGTAACGCTTAGGAATGTCAATTTCCGCCGTGCGTGCAGATTCGTATCGTAGGAAGTCTGGCTTCGCGCGCAGTCAGTAGAGCGCGCGCACGAGCGGCCTCAGTCGGACTGTTTACGCATTGGCTGGCAGGCGCGAGGCAAAATATTCGCATGCGCATTCCTAGTAGCTATTGACTGCAGACGCAACAATCGTCCCTGCACAACTGTCTGTGAACGGGCAGTAAAAAACAATATTTATCCCGAGGTCAAAGGTCCGACGCCATGTACTAGTAGCCGAATGCATAGCATTTTTGGCGAGCGGGAGCGAGTACACAATGACTCATCTGCACGAGCCATCCTACAACTTGAACCTTAGAATCACGAAGATTGGAAGGAGGTATAGACAGCCTCGGTCAGGTATCGAAGAGCGCAGCGAATGGCAGCAAATAGACGAGAGTTGTTTGGCTGGCTATATTTCGCATCGATATGACAGCTAGGTAGCGTGTAAAAATTTGCGCGTTCCCTATATCGAAAGCGACGCTGATACAAACGAGCCTCTCTGCTCAG